CAATGTACAACACAAATCACTCTTTTTACAAAATAAGACATGAGTCATATAGAAAATGGTCTACTAATTTACTAGATGATAAACAGTGTCATAGAAATAACTTACATTTTATTATTATCACTGTATTAAATTTTAACAAACACAATCCAACAACATGTATTTTGAAGCAGTATCTACTTTAGGTGAAGTACTTCTTGTCTGTACAAGCTGTTACAAATCTGAGCCTTAACTCTTAACATCGCTTGTCACCACTTTCTATCTGGTCACCTGCATTCTAGTTGGTAAGCCAAACTTCTGTTTTGTTTTGTTTTTTTTTTTCTGAAAATGTCCCACTGTCTCATGTTTAGGATTTTGCTCATGCTTTCCCACCTTCCCCACTGAACACTTCTTACTCTTCATATTTCATCTTAAGTCTCATGTCCAGTGATATGTGTGTGTTGGCAGCCCAGCTTGTACAAGCTGCCTCATCATTACTCTAGGTTTCCTTGTAACATGTTTTAATCATGATTCTCTGTATATTTATCTTCTTGTTCACAGTAAGTAAGATGAATTTCCAAAACCAAAACCACATTTAATCTGAGTTTGCATTCTCAGTTTCTAACACAATGCCTTTATCTTCTTAGGTCCTCCCCCCCTCCCCCCCGCAAAGTTGTAAAGTTCGTTTTCAACATAGCGTCTTGTGCATCTCATCATTACAATGGGTCATCCTGTATCCTTATTTCAACATTTTATTATTTCCCTTTCCCTTCCCAAATTAGAAAAATGTATATACAAGATGCGGGGCACCAGAATCAAATACAGTGACAACAGGGGTTGTACCATGGGAGAAGAACATACAACCAAAAAAATCACATAGTACATAGATTGTCAAAACCAAGAGATTCATATTTTGAGGGACAATCACAAAAATTCATTATTTGAATATGTCTTTAAATTCATAGGGAACCTTATTTGCATGAATGAAAATTTCTGTTATTGATGATAAACTGCTGGGATATTGCTTTCTTTGAAAAACAAACTGATTTTGAAATTATATCACTTTTAGATAACTGTAGAGAGAGTCATATAATTTACTGGAAACATTGGGAGCTTCAGTATCTTCTTCATTCACTTTCTCTCAGGAAGCTCTTGAATGAACATTGAGTTTTATACCAAATATAAACCTAGAAAATTACAGGCTACCCATGTAAAAATCATCAGACAACATTCCAAAATGGAGCTCCATTCCAAAATAATTTTACAGCAAATTAGATCATCATCACCAAAGAGCAGAGAACACTGGAGAAATTCCTTTTGAAAAAGTAGAGAAGTCTTCCAGTCTCAATCCTTCAGAAAGTCACATTTACATTTGTAAATGTTTAAAATAAATATAGTCACTGTCAGCTGGGAGAATGTGGCCTAGTGGTAGAGTGCTTGCCCAGCAGACATGAAGCCCTGGGTTTGATTCCTCAGTACCACATACACACAGGGGAAAAAAAGCCGGAAATGGTGCTGTGGCTCAAGTGGTAGAGTGCTGGCCTTGAGCAACAGAGCTCAGGGACAGTGCCCAGGCCCTGAGTTCAAACCCCAGGACTGGCAAAATATATAAATAAATAAATAAATAAATAAATATAGGCACTGTCCATGACCTACAAAATCATCAAAGTATAACTTATTGATATATGGTGCACCTAAAACTTGTTTTTGGAATGTAAGGGGGCTATAAATCACCTAGGTATTTCTTTTTCCTTCTATCCTTTTCCCTTTCCTTTTTTCCTTCCTTCCTTTATTTTTCTTTTTTCCCTTCTTTCCTTTCTTCCTTTTTATTTCTTTCCTTCCTTCCTTTCATCCTTTTTCTGTATTGGGGATTGAACCCAGAGCCTTATGCATGCTATGCAAGAGCCCATATTAAGACAGTGTCTTCCCACCTAAGCTACAAACAAACGCAAACACAAAACAGCATACAGATGTGTTTGGAGCATCACATAATGCCCTGTGAGATAGAAAATATGTTATAAATTTAAAAAATCCTTTTCAAGTTAGCCTTATCCAGGTAAGTTGAGTGATTCTTTGGATACTAGTTTCCATTTGTGATAAAATAGACAGGTTCAGGGACTTCTTAGCTAAATGTGATCTACCTTATGCAGCCTCAGTGAAGGATTTGGTAATATCTAAATCATAAGCTTCTATTTTTAAGTAAACTCAATCTTGTTCCTGTATCATAATCATCACTTTTCATTTGCTTCATTTTTTCCTTGGCTAAATTATTCCTCATTGCTGTCTTTTCTGTGTATTTCCACTTTGCAGTTTAGTGACATTATGCACTTGCTTTTTGGGTAAAACAATTAGGTAGTACCCTAAATATTTAATGCCAGAATTCAGCCTCCTGCCTTGCTCTGTATCATGTGGTAAGACTTTAGGACTTAGACATTACTCTTCATGACATAGCAACATGCATTAAGTCCTAATGTGCGATCAGTGTGGTTAGACAGTTTTGCAAGAAGACTCACTTGCAGAAATAGGAAGGAGAAGAAAGGTATTAAAGAGAGAAAAGCGAGAAACTGAGAGCAAGACAAGCTGAAAACCAGAGGCTTAGATGTTAGGCCAAGCATAATGCCCTGTAGCACCACAGAGTACTGTAATACATCATATCACCTGGTATCTTCTAGTATCTTCTGCCTGTTCAACTGGAATTATACATAACAATAACTCCTTAGAGGGTTACTATGGAAGTTAAAGAAATATTTTAAAAATACTTTAAAATATGCAAATAAATGTGGTATATGTATTTAATGGTAGAAAGCATAAAAGCTAGGATGGATTACAATGAAAGCAATGGCCAGTATGAGGAAAGGACTGCCAAATATAACAATGTTGTCTTCTTCACTCTTCAAAATTGTTTTATTAGAGTTTACAACTAGAACAATGTACTTTCTCTGTGCTAGATCAGACACTTTATATAGGATACAGAGAAAGAATATTCCACAGCATATAGTCTTGGCCCAAGTCTCTGATTAGGCTTTGCAGTTACAAAGTGCTAGCATTTCCATTAGTCCAAAAAGCCAGCTTGTAAAGAATAAGATGCGAGTCCCATCGTAAGAGGGTGCTACTGTGCTCCTCTGGAACGCATATGAACATATGTAATGTTTAATACAGTGTTTCTCCTGCTAGGTGATACCTGAAAAGTTATAACTTGTGATCATCTTATGGAGTGTTGTCTGTTCTATTCAGGATTTACATTTATATGATGAAGTTCCAAAATGTAGAACTATGGAGAAAAACTTCCCTCTAAAAATGAGTGAGATCCTAAACTCTCTTTAACAAGTTGCATGCACTGTCTCATTTATCAACACTAGATTGTGAGAGAGAAGTTACTATGGTGCCCACTTTGTAAATAAAATTGAGACACAGAGACAGTTCTGTGATTTCTCCTGTGGTCATTACTAATAACACATGCAAAGCCAGGGGTCAAAACCAGATCTTCTGGCTCCAGAGTCCACATGCTAATCGTGCTGCTACTTCCCTACCCTACCTTTCTAAAGAGTTGTGAAATAAGTGGTTTTCATTACTGAGATTTTCTTAACCTGAAACTTGTGGGCTGTTTGAGCACAATGTCAAATGCTTTCCCTAAAGCTATCTCCAAACTGTTCCGACAAAATCATCTTTAGACGCACCAATCTAAACTTTTCTATTAAAAGGGAAAGGACCTGCTTGTTAGTTACTAACTCCATCAGTTTTTCCCTCTTTCTAGAAAAAAAAATTTCTGCAATCCAGGTTATTGATTCTGTTATTTTAAAGACTGTGTGGATTTTGGAAGTAATCAGTCTATATCTCAGAATGTCCACACGTTTGCCAAAAACGAATTTATCAGTTAAGTATAGCCAAGAGATTTAGTTTATCTAAGTGTCCTACAAAAGAAAAATAGTTTACCAATGTTTTTACAGATTGAGGTAAATCTGACATATCATTGACATATGCTATGGATTTAATTTAATACCATAGTACAGATGTGGGCTCTGATAAGGGTTTGTGAAATCTAGGCTAAGATGAGTAAAGTTGTTTCAATATTTATGGGGTTTGAAAATGCAGAGTTAGCAAAGGAAGCATTTTAATTAAAACAATATTTTCCTGTATATGGAAGGGAATCCTTTTAAAGCTTTACTACTTGTTCCCTGGGTTTGCTTGAAATACTGGTTAGGTTAGGGTTGTTTTTTTGTTTTTTGACACATTTAAACAGGTTTGCTTTCCTTTCTTTTCCCTCACCCCCAATTTCTTTTAGCCTTTGTTTCTAGAGCTGAAAAAATACACATAATAGATTACAAGTGTTTTCTTTTTGTCTTGGTCATTTATCTGTCTTTTCAAGTAGGTGTAAAGAGAGCACAGAAATAAGAGAGACAAAAGGTGAACCAGGCTGGGAAGGTGACTCAGTGGTAGAGTGCTTGCCTTGCATGCATGAGGCCCTGGTTTTGATTCCTCAGCACCACATAAGCAGAAAAAGCCGGAAGTAGTGCTGTGGCTCAAGTGGTAGAGTGCTAGCCTTGAGCTGAAGAGCTGAGGAACAGCACCCAGGCCCAGAGTTCAGGCCCTACGAAAAAAAAAGTGAACCAAAAAATGCAGCAGTGATAACTCACTAGACACTATGTTGAAAATGAACTATATACAACTTGTAGATGGGGATGGGAGGGAAAACTGGAAGAGAGCAAAGGAAAGAGGTAAAGATGTTTGACAAGAAATGTACTCATTACCTTACTTATGTAACTGTAACTCCTCTGTACATCACCCTTACAATAAAGTAAAATAAAGTTAAAAAGAAAAGAGGGACATTGCCTAAAAGGAAATTCACTCCTTCCCTGACATATGTAATAGAAACCACTCTGTACAAAACCTTTTTAATAACAATGAAAAATTCTAATATATATGTATGTATACATATATAGTAGAAAATCAATTCAGCTGATTTTACTTTGTCAACTAAATTTGTACAATGTTTACAATCAGCCTTTTTAAATTATATGTTTTAGGTATCCTGGAAATAACATCAGTGGAAATTGGAGTTGTTGCCGTCAAAGCCATTAACAGCAACTATTACTTAGCCATGAACAAGAAGGGGAAACTCTATGGCTCAGTAAGTATTCTGCCCTTTTTTTTACAAAATCCACCACACAAAACCATGGCCACAGTTTGGGAATGTTTATTCCACACATTGGAAAGCTTTGTCATTGTTCTATTGCTGGTAAATAGAGCACAATGGACAGATCTTTTGAGTCTCAAGGGCCCACACAGCAGCTTATCCAACTCTACCACACAGGCTGCTGCTGGCGTTTGTGAATCAGATACATAGAAGCATCTGGTCAGATTGGCAACGGAGCTGCAGAAATGTTGGGGAAGAAGACTCTGAATTGAGTAGGTTGGCGGTGTGTGTGTGTGTGTGTGTGTATGTGTGTGTGTGTGTGTGTGTGCGCGCACGCGCACGCGCGCGCATGTGCTATTCTATAGCTGAAGGTAAAATGGGCTTATGTTTTACATTTTATTAAAAATCAGAAATGAGGAAGTATACCAAAAAACACATTGTTTTGTATGTTATTCAAGGAAGCCTAAAATTCCTTTTTTCTAGACAATAATCATTAATTTGTATTGTTCTTGAACATCATCAATGGAAAAATATTCTATACCATTCATTGCAGGCACTATGCTGATAGTGCCTGCAAGCAATACCAAGTATTAGTATGTGTGAAGTCCTCTGCCGCCTGCAGTGAAACTCACCCCAGTTCTCTTATGGTCACATTTAAATTAACAAAGAGCTAGTTTAGAATTAAAGTCATTAACATTGCAATTGTAATAAAAACTGAACTATAGACAGTATAACAATTTATCTTGCTCTAGACATTCACACAATGAGACAAAAGGAGGATATTCTTAGGAGAGGATCACAAAGGCTCAATAGCATACGTATATGATCAAATAAAATGATGTTTATTGAAATGAACTCCAAGCAATGGAAACAAGAGATTTTCTTGTTATTTTGGTTTTGGTTTTGTTCTTTTGTCTCCGTTGTCACTGTTTTTGTTTTCTGTACCTTTTGTCTTGTTTGTAAGTTCATGTATACTTTGGGGAGGATAAGAGGGAGCACAGAAATGGTGGGACAAAGGGTGAGCCAATGCAGCAGTGATGCTCACTAGACACTCTGTTGAAAATAAACTATACAATTTGTGGGGGAGAAGGTTGTAAGGCAAAATACTGGTACAAAAAAAGGAAAGAGGTGACACTGTTCAAAAAGAAATGTACTCATTACCTGACTTACATAACTGTAACCCTCTGTACATCACCTTTATAATAACAATAAAAAATTATCCATTTGCTCTTTTGTGAAGAAATATGTTAATTAAGTGTATGAACATCTACCTGCCATATGCCAGATACTTTTGGACATACCTTTGATAAGGCTTAATTTCAAGTAATTTAATATATGTCAACATGTTAACAATTATGAAATAATTACATAACCCATACTTGTTAAATACAAGGAAGACTTGAGAACAGCACAGTAGCCCTGTGGTAAAGGTAGGAACTGTGCTTTAGTCTCTTAATTACTCAAAGGGTGACATAACTTGACTGGTTTGTGACCGTAGTTGCATTTTTTATCCCAGTCTCAGCTTGATCAAGGAAATGCTAAATGAAATAAACTTTTTATTTCTGGGTTCCATTCTAGGAGGAGTATCTAAGCTAACTATTAAAGTTGTACTACATGTTGGAGGCTCTATACCAATATCAATGTGAGGAAATAAAACATAGTTCACTTAAAACTCGTGGTTTTGCTCACCTGAAAGCACTAATTCAAGTCTAAAAATGTGTATATAATACTGACTCAGTAATATGAGCCATATGATTTCAAACACATAATCTATTTTATGATTAGGAGTTTTACTCTACTGTGGTTGACATTACCTATTAAGCACACCACTTGAGTAAAATGACAACTTGCAGTCATACTTATGGACATGGTGGTTCTTCAGATGGTTTGTGTCATGTCGAATCCTCACCTTTGGAATGAAATATTGTTTTTCCTTTGCAGAAAGAATTTAACAATGACTGTAAGCTGAAGGAAAGGATAGAGGAAAATGGATACAATACCTACGCCTCCTTTAACTGGCAACACAATGGCAGACAAATGTATGTGGCATTGAACGGAAAAGGAGCGCCCAGGAGAGGACAGAAAACACGAAGGAAAAACACCTCAGCTCACTTTCTTCCGATGGTGGTTCACTCGTAGAGGAAGACAGTGTTGGTGGATATCAAAGGCTCTTTGGCCAAGAACAGTTACTATTCTTCATGAACGTAATAATACTGAAGGCAAACACGTCACAGACATCTGCTCATTGTAATGAAAGGAAGCCTTTGGAGATGTTTTTATTCACTGCTGACGTACCTATAATGTTCTTTTCATTAGCTCTGTGTCATGCCTTATAACCAAGATATAGGCAGATCGAATGAGATGGAAATTATTCCCAAGAGAACAACATTGTGGTTGAGTATTTTTTTGTCATATTGTCGTCATTGCTGTTCGATTGTTTCTGTTTGTTTTTATTTTTTACTTTTTTTTTGGTTGAGCTTTTGTTTTTGAAACCTCTGAGATAGAACATGAAACAATCTGCTGAATGATCTTCGGGAAAGTTATTTATGGAATACGAACTCATATCAAAGACTTTCTTTGCTCAATCAAGCCTAGTAATTTGATGAGCGGGAAGACATGCAAGCATTTACTGGAAAAGCACTTGGGTCATACCATATACATAGCCAACCAAAAGAGCTTAGAGTGTGGTACCATGGAAGAATTGGATAGGCGTTAAAAACATAACACATTAGGGTGAAACTGTTCTAACAATACAAATAGTATGGTATGCTTGTGCATTCTGCCTTCATCCTTTTCTATTTCTTTCTAAGTTATTTATTTAATAGGATGTTAAATATCTTTTGGGGTTTTAAAGAGTATCCTCAGCAGTTTCCCTCTGCCTTACCTTCTGTTTTTTTTTTTCTTCAACACACCACATGCATGTTCACAACAAAGTATTTAAAAAGAAAAAAAAACTTGGCAGATGCTTCAAAAATAGGAGATGAAATTAGGGAATCAGTCCGAGTGCCCCATGTGCTGTCAGTCGACTTGATTTCCACTTCTGCAATAACAACCATTGGTGATAAATATGGCAGTGTGCCACCATGGCTGAGTGAGAGATGTCTGCCAACACTTAACAATAACTACTCCTCCTGAGGTTTCCATTCCCAAAAAACAATAGGTGAGAAAAGATAAGCGTTTCTCTTTCAATATATCACTTCACCTTGAAGAATATACTAAATGAAGGAAAGGTTAAATATATTTTAGTAGCCTGGTCTTATGAGTTCCTAATTTTTTTGCCATATGTCACAGCAGTAAGTGGTGAAGAGACTGTCTGCATATATAAGAACTTTTTGTAAATCCCACATAATGAATCCCCCCCACCCAAGGAGCCATCAAGGAATTTGGTTTGAAGTATAACTGCCCCAGGGGCTTAACCTGAGCAAATATATCCTGGTATATGTGTAATCATATACAGAAATCTGTGCAAGTCGTATGATCTAGTCTTTACAAAACCAAATAAAACTCACTTTCTGTAAAGTTAAAGAGCTTTAGGAGGTTCCATAATATAACCATATCAAACTTCATTTTGTTAGAGCAGGTATAGGAAACAGTACATAAGATTACCAGCCATCACCTTGTATTCCACTAAATAAATGCATAAGCCTTATTTGCAGTGTCTGTAGTGATTTTTAAAATGTAGAAAAAATATTATGTGTTCTAAATACTTTTAAGTGATAACTATAAGACTATATTGATGCTGCAGTTCTATCTTCATATCTCTTGTTGTTGTTTTCTTTTTTAAGTCTGTTTATTGTTTGGACACCGTATTTTGGCACAAGGAAAGGAATCACCAAAATATGTCTTTTTTTAACTAAATTTTAACCTGGACAAAAACTGGTGTATTGTAATTCTCCTATAACTTCCTTGTACCAATAGTTAACCAGCATTTCTATTAAATCTGTCATTTTAAAATTAGCTTTATTGTGAAAATTTCCCACAAAATAATACCACAAAGGTCAAAATTTTATAACTCCTTTTAAAAAAAGTTGACATTTCAAAAAATATATTGGAGGAACAGTATTTTGAACTAAGTTGTGTTTTGTGATACTTTGCTTCCACCTTTCTTTGTGACAAATCGGACACTAAAAGAAGTTGAATCTTTTTGTAGTTGGATACTGTAAAATTTGCTTGGTAATTATGTCTGAGAGCTGTAATGGAATGCATTCATATGGGAACTAGGTACCCTTTTCTCTTTTATTTTAAAGTAATAATTGCACCTGACACAGAAACAAGGACCACCCACGGCCAAAATTAAATGCTTGGTGAGACACATGTGGTATTAGATGACCACATCTGACAGCAAAGAGGGCAAAAACTGGATTCTTATTCCACATAGCCATTTAGATTACTAAAGAGACTGTGTATAAACAGTCATCATTACAGTACTTAAGACCCTAAAACAGCTTCTAGCAAAATGTATCAAAGCTTGCAGTATCCAAAATTAGAATACAGTTTCCCCCTCTCTCCCACCATCCTCCTCCTCCACATCCATCCCTTTAGCGATAGGTACAGAAACAGTTTGGTAAGGAGAAATAAGATTCTTCTGCATTTTTTTAATGACACCTTTGATCAATATTAATAGAGAATTCTGGTCCCTTTTGCAACTACTGAAGGAAAAGAAGTTTTGTTTCAGAATGTCATAATTTAAAATAAATAAATAAATTGGGAGTTCTTCCTGTATGGAAAGTGTGGGTCCGAGCCCAGAGATTGAAGGTATGTCAACCACAAATGTGTGTCCATGTGAGTGTTGGTCGTGAGGAGACTCCTAAGGATAGAGTTACTTCCTTCTCCTACCTCCCAAAAGGCTGAACAGTATATAGTATGTTACCTTTAAATAAAAACAATAAAAAAAAGCTCTGGGAAAAGAAAATACAAATATTGTCTTTGTTTGTTTTATCAGCCTAAAACTCTACCTGGTAATAAAGCAAGAAGCTGGAGGGTTGTGTGCATGGCAGGATGTGGCTAAATGCCCCACGGCCACAAACAACAACAACAGAAAAAAATTACTCAAACATTTGTAAGGTTTCTGTAATGTTTTACATGTGTGAGTCGGCTATCCTGACTCTAATAACAACCAAATGCTTTCAGTTTGCCTAAGCATTTGGGTCCCCTCGTTTACACAGTGGATAAAGAAGAATGAATTGAAAACAAGGATGGCTTGGGAAACAATGAAATGCTCTTGGAACAGAGCCAAGAGACAAGAGATGGAAAAATACGATTCCCAAGGGATGGACCAAGCCAATGAATTCGATTTACAAAGTGGAGAGGAAAAAAGCTCATCAGAGTGCCAGTTATTGCCATCTTGCTCTATCAAGATGATAGACATGATTTAGATGTTTCAGTGTTAACACTGTATATTAATAACAATTTAGATGCTGTTAATTTAGGATTTGATTATTCAGTGAAATAAAATTAACCTTTGGCCTCTCAGTAAGTTAAACATGGTCTAAATAAAGATACAGGTAGGAAGCTTGAAATACTTCAGAGGAAATAATCCCATATGATAAAGCGCCATACCCATGAACCAACAAATGTCGATAATGAGCTCTTGTCTATTTGCCTAGACAGGACTTTTGAAAGAAGAAAATGACCTCTTAGAAAGATAACAGGGGCAAAAGGGAAATTCTTGATTTCTACCAGAACTGGACAAGGAACCAACTAGGATCTGTTCCCTCTTATTTCAAACTGACTTTTGGTGCTTGGCTGATGCTTGCTTCCAATTTACTTCTTTCAACTTCCAAACTCAAAACCTTATCAGGAATGAGAGCTCACAGACCAACTCTAGACTAATCACTATGTCGAGAGGTAGATCAATCTTCACTAACATATCCGTCAAGAGGGAAGGTAGAGATTTTGGTAGCCCAAGGACTACAATGAATGAAAAACCATGCATGAGCATAAAAGCAGTGGCTGGCAGGTGTAGAAATGGAATGGCTTTAGCTACATCTGGTCAAAAGAGCTCCTGACTTATATTTACTTTTATCACATTTTTACCAGTTCCAATAATTCTCCATATGGTCAAATCAGAGAGAGTTCAAGTAATTTTTATCATTTTATGCATTTTAATAAAAAAAGATTACACTTATTTTGATTTAATCCTAGAATAGGGCTCCAAATACAAGCTAGCACACCGAGGAGCTATAAACTTTATAAAATGATCATTGGGTAAGTTTTGTTGAATAAAAGCCTATCCGCTTTGCCTTATTACAATGTGATGTTATTAATACTTCTATAAGTTCATCCCAGAATATGCAATAGTATATTCAAGTATGCCAATATATAGAAAATTACATGCCATTAGTTTGTTACTTGGAAAATAAAGGGAAAAGGAAAAAGAAAGTCTTGCTCCCTATTTCTGTTATATCTTGTATACATTCATCATAAAACAAATAATTAGCATTTCTGTTTCTTCTTCCAGACTAGAAGAAAATAAAACACTAAATGCATTTGTAAGTGAAAAAAAATCCAGTAAAAGCACATTTATAAACATGATGTGTTAGTTAAGATAATAATGATCAAACTAATGCAATCAAAGAAACTGGTCTCAATTCTATGTGCATAATAATGAACAACAAATCATGATAGCAGCTAAGGGCAAAAATTCTGTACTCAGAGACAACTCATATGTCAACCATACATGCATGTGGCATGTATTATTTTGCACATTTTACTTTATTTTATTTTTCTTCACAAAAGAGCCTACATTCATTTCTTGGTGTAGGCAATTATATCCTCTAAGATGAGCACGGCAAATGAAGAATCAAAACATCCTATGTTCCTCATTACAACTGTAAATTGAACATATGCCTTCATACATCTTCGGCAGTGACCCCAGCTGTAGAATAACCAACTGCAGTATGGCCTTAGCCCTCTTGAAGTTTGGTTTTAATTACTTTCTACACATCTTAAATGTCTAAATCATCTTACAATTTTCTAATTTATTTAAGTTATCATTTCTGTGGTCAATTTAAACTGCTGACAATGCAAATATTCTCAGAGAGGTCTTTCAAGGGGAAGTAAATTAAAAACAGTGTATTGTGAAGTATTATAAATTTTCAAAAAGACTGTTTTTAAATAGCTATGGAAAGCATTAGAGT